CTGAACCCTCTCCTCCACCATCAGTACTGTCTGTCTGCTTCCAGTTCAGTTGAGCTGCTGAACCCTCTCCTCCATCATCAGTACTGTCTGTCTGTCTGCTTCCAGTTCAGTTGAGCTGCTGAACCCTCTCCTCCACCATCAGTACTGTCTGTCTGCTTCCAGTTCAGTTGAGCTGCTGAACCCTCTCCTCCACCATCAGTACTGTCTGTCTGCTTCCAGTTCAGTTGAGCTGCTGAACCCTCTCCTCCATCATCAGTACTGTCTGTCTGCTTCCAGTTCAGTTGAGCTGCTGAACCCTCTCCTCCATCATCAGTACTGTCTGTCTGTCTGTCTGCTTCCAGTTCAGTTGAGCTGCTGAACCCTCTCCTCCACCATCAGTACTGTCTGTCTGCTTCCAGTTCAGTTGAGCTGCTGAACCCTCTCCTCCACCATCAGTACTGTCTGTCTCCAGTTCAGTTGAGCTGCTGAACCCTCTCCTCCACCATCAGTACTGTCTGTCTGTCTGCTTCCAGTTCAATTGAGCTGCTGAACCCTCTCCTCCACCATCAGTACTGTCTGTCTGCTTCCAGTTCAGTTGAGCTGCTGAACCCTCTCCTCCACCATCAGTACTGTCTGTCTGCTTCCAGTTCAGTTGAGCTGCTGAACCCTCTCCTCCACCATCAGTACTGTCTGTCTGCTTCCAGTTCAGTTGAGCTGCTGAACCCTCTCCTCCACCATCAGTACTGTCTGTCTGCTTCCAGTTCAGTTGAGCTGCTGAACCCTCTCCTCCATCATCAGTACTGTCTGTCTGTCTGCTTCCAGTTCAGTTGAGCTGCTGAACCCTCTCCTCCATCATCAGTACTGTCTGTCTGTCTGCTTCCAGTTCAGTTGAGCTGCTGAACCCTCTCCTCCATCATCAGTACTGTCCTGCTTCCAGTTCAGTTGAGCTGCTGAACCTCTCCTCCACCATCCTTACTGTGGTCTCCGGTTCAGTTGAGCTGCTGAACCCTCTCCTCCACCATCAGTACTGTCTGTCTGTCTGCTTCCAGTTCAGTTGAGCTGCTGAACCCTCTCCTCCACCATCAGTACTGTCTGTCTGTCTGCTTCCAGTTCAGTTGAGCTGCTGAACCCTCTCCTCCATCATCAGTACTGTCTGTCTGTCTGCTTCCAGTTCAGTTGAGCTGCTGAACCCTCTCCTCCATCATCAGTACTGTCTGTCTGTCTGCTTCCAGTTCAGTTGAGCTGCTGAACCCTCTCCTCCACCATCAGTACTGTCTGTCTGTCTGCTTCCAGTTCAGTTGAGCTGCTGAACCCTCTCTTCCATCATCAGTACTGTCTGTCTGTCTGCTTCCAGTTCAGTTAGCTGCTGAACCCTCTCCTCCATCATCAGTACTGTCTGTCTGTCCGCTTCCAGTTCAGTTGAGCTGCTGAACCCTCTCCTCCACCATCAGTACTGTCTGTCTGCTTCCAGTTCAGTTGAGCTGCTGAACCCTCTCCTCCATCATCAGTACTGTCTGTCTGCTTCCAGTTCAGTTGAGCTGCTGAACCCCTCTCCTCCATCATCAGTACTGTCTGTCTGTCTGCTTCCAGTTCAGTTGAGCTGCTGAACCCTCTCCTCCACCATCAGTACTGTCTGTCTGCTTCCAGTTCAGTTGAGCTGCTGAACCCTCTCCTCCACCATCAGTACTGTCTGTCTGTCTGCTTCCAGTTCAGTTGAGCTGCTGAACCCTCTCCTCCACCATCAGTACTGTCTGTCTGTCTGCTTCCAGTTCAGTTGAGCTGCTGAACCCTCTCCTCCATCATCAGTACTGTCTGTCTGTCTGCTTCCAGTTCAGTTGAGCTGCTGAACCCTCTCCTCCATCATCAGTACTGTCTGTCTGTCTGTCTGCTTCCAGTTCAGTTGAGCTGCTGAACCCTCTCCTCCATCATCAGTACTGTCTGTCTGTCTGCTTCCAGTTCAGTTGAGCTGCTGAACCCTCTCCTCCATCATCAGTACTGTCTGTCTGCTTCCAGTTCAGTTGAGCTGCTGAACCCTCTCCTCCATCATCAGTACTGTCTGTCTGTCTGCTTCCAGTTCAGTTGAGCTGCTGAACCCTCTCCTCCATCATCAGTACTGTCTGTCTGTCTGTCCGCTTCCAGTTCAGTTGAGCTGCTGAACCCTCTCCTCCATCATCAGTACTGTCTGTCTGTCTGCTTCCAGTTCAGTTGAGCTGCTGAACCCTCTCCTCCACCATCAGTACTGTCTGTCTGTCTGCTTCCAGTTCAGTTGAGCTGCTGAACCCTCTCCTCCACCATCAGTACTGTCTGTGTCTGCTTCCAGTTCAGTTGAGCTGCTGAACCCTCTCCTCCACCATCAGTACTGTCTGTCTGCTTCCAGTTCAGTTTGAGCTGCTGAAACCCTCTCCTCCACCATCAGTACTGTCTGTCTGTCTGCTTCCAGTTCAGTTGAGCTGCTGAACCCTCTCCTCCACCATCAGTACTGTCTGTCTGTCTGTCTGCTTCCAGTTCAGTTGAGCTGCTGAACCCTCTCCTCCATCATCAGTACTGTCTGTCTGTCTGTCTGCTTCCAGTTCAGTTGAGCTGCTGAACCCTCTCCTCCACCATCAGTACTGTCTGTCTGCTTCCAGTTCAGTTGAGCTGCTGAACCCTCTCCTCCACCATCAGTACTGTCTGTCTGCTTCCAGTTCAGTTGAGCTGCTGAACCCTCTCCTCCACCATCAGTACTGTCTGTCTGTCTGTCTGTCTGCTTCCAGTTCAGTTGAGCTGCTGAACCCTCTCCTCCACCATCAGTACTGTCTGTCTGTCTGCTTCCAGTTCAGTTGAGCTGCTGAACCCTCTCCTCCATCATCAGTACTGTCTGTCTGCTTCCAGTTCAGTTGAGCTGCTGAACCCTCTCCTCCACCATCAGTACTGTCTGTCTGTCTGCTTCCAGTTGAGCTGCTGAACCCTCTCCTCCACCATCAGTACTGTCTGTCTGTCTGCTTCCAGTTCAGTTGAGCTGCTGAACCCTCTCCTCCACCATCAGTACTGTCTGTCTGTCTGCTTCCAGTTCAGTTGAGCTGCTGAACCCTCTCCTCCATCATCAGTACTGTCTGTCTGTCTCCAGTTCAGTTGAGCTGCTGAACCCTCTCCTCCACCATCAGTACTGTCTGTCTGTCTGCTTCCAGTTCAGTTGAGCTGCTGAACCCTCTCCTCCACCATCAGTACTGTCTGTCTGTCTGCTTCCAGTTCAGTTGAGCTGCTGAACCCTCTCCTCCACCATCAGTACTGTCTGTCTGTCTGCTTCCAGTTGAGCTGCTGAACCCTCTCCTCCACCATCAGTACTGTCCTGTCTGTCTGCTTCCAGTTCAGTTGAGCTGCTGAACCCTCTCCTCCACCATCAGTACTGTCTGTCTGTCTGCTTCCAGTTCAGTTGAGCTGCTGAACCCTCTCCTCCACCATCAGTACTGTCTGTCTGTCTGCTTCCAGTTCAGTTGAGCTGCTGAACCCTCTCCTCCACCATCAGTACTGTCTGTCTGCTTCCAGTTCAGTTGAGCTGCTGAACCCTCTCCTCCACCATCAGTTACTGTCGGTCTGCTTCCAGTTCAGTTGAGCTGCTGAACCAACAGGGCTAAATCTATTAGAGCCGGCCCATTGGCTTCATTAGTTAATATGGAGAGCACTGATGAATGGCCTCGACGCCACCACTGGTTGTCCACACCCAAGCAGCATCTGAAATGGCACCCTTTTCCCTATATAGTGCACTACTTTTGACCAGGGCTCACAGGGTTGTAGTGCACTATAAAGGGAACAGGGTACCATTAGGGACAAAGTCAACATAACGCTAAGAGAGAGCCCTGATGCATGGCCTAACTTCACCCCCGGTTGTCATGACACCCAGATATTATGGGATATGATCTGGGGCCTATTCAGGAGCATGTAACATTACAGGCCTTTCAGATAGAACTGTATGACGTAGAGCAGATCTGATAGACTGTCAGATTGAATAGGGAATCATACCGTCAGCGCCGTTCGTTCTATTTCTATCTGAAGTTCAGAACATGGTAAAGCAGCATTTCGGAGTGGGCCGCTGCTGGAGTAGCTAAAGCACTCCTGAAATAATTCAAAGCTTCCCATTCGGAGAATTAGAGTGAGAATAGCCATTTTACAGTAGCTGGAGGGAGGAGAGGAGAGGAGAGGAGAGGAGAGGAGAGGAGAGGAGAGGAGAGGAGAGGAGAGGACGAGGAGAGGAGGGAGAGGAGAGGAGAGCGAGGAAGGATGAGGAGAGGAGAGGAGAGGAGAGGAGAGGAGAGGAGGAGAGGATGAGGAAGGAGAGAGAGGAGAGGAGGAGGGAGAGGAGAGGAGAGGAGAGGAGAGGAGAGGAGAGGAGAGGAGAGAGAGGAGAGGAGAGGAGAGGAGAGGAGAGGAGAGGAAGGAGGGGGAGAGGAGAGGAGAGGGAGGAGGGGGAGAGGAGAGGAGAGGGGAGAGAAAGGAGGAAGGAGGGGGAGAGGATGAGAACAGAAGAGGGGGAGGAGAGAGCTCATAACTAGGAGAGGTACAGATTTAGAAAGAAAAGCAGTTCTAATATTAAAGAGCTGCTCATGAAGTGCGTGTGGTGTCACATGCTTCATTAACAACAGCTGTAGACTAACAGACTGACGGGTCCTTTTCCAATAATGCAGTTAAAGATTTAAAAAATCAAATGAATACAAAAATAGAAATAGTGACAAGGAATAAATACACAGTGACTAACGAATAACAACGACTAAAAATAACATGGCTATATACAGGAAGTACCAGTACTGAGTGGATGTGCAGGGGTACCAGGTAATAACATGGCTATATACAGGAAGTACCAGTACTGAGTCCATGTGCAGGGGTACCAGGTAATAACATTGCTATATACAGGAAGTACCAGTACTGAGTCAATGTGCAGGGGTACTTTGAGGGTCTGAGGGCCCACGCCGAATATTTTCAGCCGGTGTGTGTCAGACAGCTGCTCAGTAAGTCAGGAGTAAACTGCTCTGGGTCTGCTGTGACCATCAGCCTGTAGTCAGATGATTGACAGCATGGTACTGGGTCAGAGATGTAGTCAGGTGATTGACAGCATGGTACTGGGTCAGAGATGTAGTCAGGTGATTGACAGCATGGTACTGGGTCAGAGATGTAGTCAGGTGATTGACAGCACGGTACTGGGTCAGAGATGTAGTCAGGTGATTGACAGCATGGTACTGGGTCAGAGATGTAGTCAGGTGATTGACAGCATGGTACTGGGTCAGAGATGTAGTCAGGTGATTGACAGCACGGTACTGGGTCAGAGATGTAGTCAGGTGATTGACAGCATGGTACTGGGTCAGAGATGTAGTCAGGTGATTGACAGCATGGTACTGGGTCAGAGATGTAGTCAGGTGATTGACAGCACGGTACTGGGTCAGAGATGTAGTCAGATGATTGACAGCACGGTACTGGGTCAGAGATGTAGTCAGGTGATTGACAGCACGGTACTGGGTCAGAGATGTAGTCAGATGATTGACAGCACGGTACTGGGTCAGAGATGTAGTCAGATGATTGACAGCACGGTACTGGGTCAGAGATGTAGTCAGGTGATTAACAGCATGGTACTGGGTCAGAGATTAATGAATGCATGCATGCAGGTTGAGACCAGTCCCTAATAACAAATCTACCAGTTTTGACCAATCCCTAATCCACCAGTTGACCAATTCCTAATCACAAGAACTACAGTTTTGACCAATCCCTAATCACAAGTCCACCAGTTTTGAACAATCCCTAATAGTGTTGCACAGTATACATTTTAGTCATTTAGCAGACGCTCTTATCCAGAGCGACTTACAGTTAGTGAGTGCATACATTTTCATACTGGCCCCCCCCGTGGGAATCGAACCCACAACCCTGCCGTTGCAAGCACCATGCTCTACCAACTGAGATACACGGGGTCCCATGATACCAATGTAAAAATGTGCTTGCTATATCCGTCATTAGATTAAAACAAGTCGTCCCTGTAACCTAGTCCTAGATGGATGAAAGGGCTTCATAAAACAAGTCGTCCCTGTAACCTAGTCCTAGATGGATGAAAGGTCTTCATAAAACAAGTCGTCCCTGTAACCTAGTCCTAGATGGATGAAAGGTCTTCATAAAACAAGTCGTCCCTGTAACCTAGTCCTAGATGGATGAAAGGTCTTCATAAAACAAGTCGTCCCTGTAACCTAGTCCTAGATGGATGAAAGGGCTTCATAAAACAAGTCGTCCCTGTAACCTAGTCCTAGATGGATGAAAGGGCTTCATAAAACAAGTCGTCCCTGTAACCTAGTCCTAGATGGATGAAAGGTCTTCATAAAACAAGTCGTCCCTGTAACCTAGTCCTAGATGGATGAAAGGTCTTCATAAAACAAGTCGTCCCTGTAACCTAGTCCTAGATGGATGAAAGGGCTTCATAAAACAAGTCGTCCCTGTAACCTAGTCCTAGATGGATGAAAGGGCTTCATAAAACAAGTCGTCCCTGTAACCTAGTCCTAGATGGATGAAAGGGCTTCATAAAACAAGTCGTCCCTGTAACCTAGTCCTAGATGGATGAAAGGGCTTCATAAAACAAGTCGTCCCTGTAACCTAGTCCTAGATGGATGAAAGGTCTTCATAAAACAAGTCGTCCCTGTAACCTAGTCCTAGATGGATGAAAGGTCTTCATAAAACAAGTCGTCCCTGTAACCTAGTCCTAGATGGATGAAAGGTCTTCATAAAACAAGTCGTCCCTGTAACCTAGTCCTAGATGGATGAAAGGTCTTCATAAAACAAGTCGTCCCTGTAACCTAGTCCTAGATGGATGAAAGGTCTTCATAAAACAAGTCGTCCCTGTAACCTAGTCCTAGATGGATGAAAGGTCTTCATAAAACAAGTCGTCCCTGTAACCTAGTCCTAGATGGATGAAAGGTCTTCATAAAACAAGTCGTCCCTGTAACCTAGTCCTAGATGGATGAAAGGTCTTCATAAAACAAGTCGTCCCTGTAACCTAGTCCTAGATGGATGAAAGGTCTTCATAAAATGACACTACACTAAAAACCTGGGTAAGAAGGGTAAACAGACTAAGAAGAGAAGAGACCCTCTAAGACAAAATACATTTCAAATAAGGCAGAAGATATATACTTCTCCCTCTACCACCGGCCATTCCTGTCAAGACGCAAAGTTACGGGACGCTACAGTCCCCGTCCCCAGCCTACGGGACGCTACCGTCCCCGTCCCCAGCCTACGGGACGCTACCGTCCCCAGCCTACGGGACGCAGAGACGTTTAGGGACGCAGAGTGATTGAGGCCAAAAGGTTGATCAGTAGGAAAGACGGTCAAAGCAGTGAAAGCTTATCAGGGATTCTGAGGTTTCAGAAAGTTGCGCCAGGAAAAGTACAAATAGGATTTCATAGTTTAAATGTTAAAAGAGAATTTGTCCCATAATGCACCGCGGTGTTTTAAACGCCAAAGCATGGGACACGTAGCTGCTCTGTGTAAAGGAAAGAAAAGATGTGCCAAGTGTGGAGGGGAACATGATTACGGTGAATGTGGGAGCAATGTGAAGGTTAAGTGCTGTAATTGTGGAGGTGACAACAGTGCATCATTTGGTGGATGCCAGGTACAGAGAGAGGCTGGAGAGGCTCAGAGATATAGGATCAGTCATGATGTATCGTATGCAGATGGCCGTCAAACAGATTGGTGGAACTACAGTGCGGACTGATGGCGCTTACATGGATGTTGCTGTAGTAAGTGGACCTGCTGTCTGGGGCTGGTGCTTCCGATGGTCCTGGCATGGTTTCGAGGCCTGTTCAGAAATCTTGCGCTAATGAATGTGCGGTGTCAAAGGACACTTTGATAATGAATAAAGTTCATTTCATAGCTTTTATTGGTAAGGTTATCAATACGACTCGGGTTGTGAAAAGCAGAAATGCCAGGTTGAAGGTTATTGTGGACACTGCAAAATAAATATTCGGGATAACAGATGTTAGTGTTGAAATTGGTTGTTGACTGCTGAACAAGCACCAAAACGTTTGTACTTTTTCCGATACTAGAACATGAAAAATGGTTCGGTACTAGAATTCTTGTTACTTTCTGCCAAATGTGTCTCATGTCATTTATGGATTGAGAGGATCGAGTCTATCTAGTCATTTGTCTGAATCTTCAAGGGGGCAGTAGTGAGCTAGACAGGCTCCTCGTCTCCTCTAGGGGGCAGTAGTGAGCTGGCCAGGCTCCTTGTCTCCTCTAGGGGGCAGTAGTGAGCTAGACAGGCTCCTCGTCTCCTCTAGGGGGCAGTAGTGAGCTAGCCAGGCTCCGTGTCTCCTCTAGGGGGCAGTAGTGAGCTAGACAGGCTCCGTGTCTCCTCTAGGGGGCAGTAGTGAGCTAGCAGGCTCCGTGTCTCCTCTAGGGGGCAGTAGTGAGCTAGCCAGGCTCTGTGTCTCCTCTAGGGGGCAGTAGTGAGCTAGCAGGCTCCTTGTCTCCTCTAGGGGGCAGTAATACTAGCCAGGCTCCGTGTCTCCTCTAGGGGGCAGTAATACTAGCCAGGCTCCGTGTCTCCTCTAGGGGGCAGTAATACTAGCCAGGCTCCGTGTCTCCTCTAGGGGGCAGTAGTGAGCTAGCCAGGCTCTGTGTCTCCTCTAGGGGGCAGTAGTGAGCTAACCAGGCTCCGTGTCTCCTCTAGGGGGCAGTAGTGAGCTAGCCAGGCTGCTTGTCTCCTCTAGGGGGCAGTAGTGAGCTAGCCAGGCTCCGTGTCTCCTCTAGGGGGCAGTAGTGAGCTAACCAGGCTCCGTGTCTCCTCTAGGGGGCAGTAGTGAGCTAGCCAGGCTCCTTGTCTCCTCTAGGGGGCAGTAGTGAGCTAGCCAGGCTCCTTGCAGCTGACACCGCGCGAGCCACTTTTGAGGAGCAAGCGAGAGGAGAGAGAAAATGCCAGCAGCATGGCTTCTAACAAAAACATACCTCCACGCCCGCAGCTTGTTGACAAAACTGGCTCCAGAAGTGAACTATGGGAATACTTTGATTACGGAGCAGATGAAGGCCAGCTCACAGCAAAGGGTGTTACAAAGCAGTGAAGTACAGGGAGCATTATAAAATAAATGACAACCCAAAGTCATGTGAAATGAATTCAGAACTTGACGGAAATATATTTAGACTACTTCACGTTTGTCTGGGCTTGCTAGCAGTAGCCACTAGCCAGCCAGCAGCCCTGGGCGGAGCATTGCACCCTGGGAAGTAAAATGCACCCTGGGAATCGTAGTATTGTGTAAAATCTATTATATACTGAACAAAAATATCAACGCAACATGCAACAATTTCAAAGATTTTACTGAGTTACAGTACATTTAAGGAAAATCAGATAATTTAAATTCATTAGGCCCTGATCTATGTATTTCACATGACTAGGAATACAGATATGCATCTGTTGGTCACAGATAGCTTTAAAAGGGTAGGGACGTCGATCAGAAAACTAGTCAGAATCTGGTGTGACCATTTGCCTCATGCAGCGCGACACATCTACTTCGCATAGAGTTGATCAGGATGTTGGTTGTGGCCTGTGGAATGTTGTCACACTCCTCTTCAATGGCTGTGCGAAGTCGCTGGATATTGTTGGGAACTGGAACACGCTGTCGTAAACGTCGATCCAGAGCATCCCAAACCTGCTCAATAGGTGTCATGGCTGGTGAGTATTCACACCGTAGAAGAACTGGGACATTTACAGCTTCCAGGAATTGTGTATAGATCCTTGCGACATGGGGCTGATTAATGGCACGACAATGGGCCTCAGGATCTCGTCACGGTATCTATGCGCATTCAAATTGCCATCGATAAAATGCAAATTGTGTTCGTTGTCCGTAGCTTATGCCTGCTTATACCATAACCCCAACGCCACCATGGGGCACTCTGTTCACAACGTTGACATCAGCAAACCGGTTGTGCAAATGCGCCTTCGGAAAGTGTTCAGACCCCTTGACTTTTTCCACTTTGTTACATTACAGCCTTATTCTTATTTTTTTATTTTATCTTTATCAATCTACATACAATACCCCATAATGACAAAACAAAAATAGGTTTTTAGAAATGTTTGCTAATTTATTAAAAACAAGAAATTGAAATATCACATTTACGTAAGTATGCAGAAAACATCCCAAACCATCTCAATTGGGTTGAGGTCGGGGGATTGTGGAGGCCAGGTCATCTGATGCAGCACTCCATCACTCTCTTTCTTGGTAAAATAGCCCTTACACAGCCTGGAGGTGTGTTGGGTCATTGTCCTGTTGAAAAACAAATGATAGTCCCATTAAGCCCAAACCAGATGGGATGGCGTATCGCTGCAGAATGATGTGGTAGCCATGCTGGTTTAGTGTGCCTTGAATTCTAAACAAATCACAGACAGTGTCACCAGCAAAGCACCCCCACACCATAACACCTCCTCCGCCATGCTTTACGGTGGGAAATACACATGCAGAGATCATCCATTCACCAAAAATCTTCAATTTGGACTCCAAACCAAAGGACAAATTTCCATAGCTCGTGTTTCTTGGCCCAAGCAAGTCTCTTCTTATTATTGGTGTCCTTTAGTAGTGGTTTCTTTGCAGCAATTCGACTAAGAAGGCCTGATTCACACAGTCTCCTCTGAACAGTGGATGTTGAGATGTGTCTGTTACTTGAACTCTGTGAAGCATTTATTTGGGCTGAAATTCCTGTGGCAGTCCTCATGAGAGCCAGTTTCATCATAGCGCTTGACGGTTTCTGCGACTGCACTTGAAGAAACGTTCAAGTTCTTGAAATGTTCCATATTGACTGACCTTCATGTCATAATATATTTTGATCTGTTTAACACTTATTTCGTTACTACATGATTCCATATGTGTTATTTCATAGTTTTAATGTCTTCACTATTATTCTACAATGTAGAAAATAGTAAAAATAAAGAAAAACCCTTGAATGAGTAGGTGTCCAAACTTTTGACTGGTAGTGTATATCAGTGCCACCCTGTTCACAAAAATGGATCGCTCCTACAGACAGTGAGTCACGTGGCCGTGGCTTGCTATATAAAGCAGGCAGACAGGCATCCAGTTACTGTTTGATTGAACGTTAAAATTAGGCAAAGCAAGAGAACTAAGCAAGTTTGAGCGTGGTATGTTCAGAAAACGTCCAGCCTCCTGGGCTTTTCACGCACGACAGTGTCTAGGGTTTTCCGACAATGGTGTGACAAGCAAAAAAAAAAACATCCAGTCAGCAGCAGTCCTGTGTGCGAAAACAGCTTGTTGATGAGAGAGGTTGAAGGAGAACGGCGCAAGCTAACAGGTCAAATAACGGCACAGTACAACAGCGGTGTTCAGAACCACTCTAACCGAACCACTCCGATCCAATCCAATCCAATCCAATCCTGTCAGCTAAAAACAAGAAGCAGTGATCACCAACACCAGACAATTAAGGAAAGGAAAAATATTGCCTTGTCCGACGAATCCTGGTTCCTGTTGAGTCATGCTGCATGTGCCCATGGTGTCAACGGTACAGGCTGGTGTTGTTCCTGTACCCAAGAAAGCAAAAGGTAACTGAACTAAATGACTATCGCCCCGTAGCACTCACCTCTGTCATCATGAAGTGCTCTGAGAGACTAGTCAAGGATCATATCACCTCTACCTTACCTGTCACCGTAGACCCACTTCAATTTGCTTACCGCCCCAATAGATCCACAGACGATGCAATTCGCCATCACACTGCACAATCTCATCTGGACAAGAGGAATACCTACGTCAGAATGCTGTTCATTGACTATAGCTCAGCATTCAACACCATAGTACCCTCCAAGCTCATCATTAAGCTCGAGGCCCTGGGTCTGAACCCCGCCCTGTGCAACTGGGTCCTGGACTTCCTGACGGGCCGCCCCCAGGTGGTGAAGGTAGGAAACAACATCTCTACTTCGCTGATCCTCAACACAGGGGCCCCACAAGGGTGCGTGCTCAGCCCCCTCCTGTACTCCCTGTTCACCCATGACTGCGTGGACAAGCACGCCTCCAACTCAATCATCAACTTTGCAGACGACAACAGTAGTAGGCCTGATAACCAACAATGACGAGACTGCCTACAGGGAGGTGGTGAGGGCCCTGGCAGAGGTGCCAGGAAAATAACCTCTCACTCAACGTCAACAAAACAAAGGTGGACTTCAGGAAACAGCAGAGGAGCACCCCCCTATCCACATCGACGGGACCACAGTGGAGAAGGTGGAAAGCTTCAAGTTCCTTGGCGTACACATCACTGACAAACTGAAATGGTCTACCCAAGCAGACAGTGTGGTGAAGAACGTGCAACAGAGCCTCTTCAACCTCAGGATGCTGAACAAATTTACAGATGCACAATTGAGAGCATCCTGTCGGGCTGTATCACCGCCTGGTACGGCAACTGCACCGCCCGCAACCGCAGGGCTCTCCAGAGGGTGGTGCGGTCTGCCAAACGCATTACCGGGGCAAACTACCCACCCTCCAGGACACCTACAGCACCTGATGTCACAGGAAGGCCAAAAAGATCATCAAGGACATCAACCACCCGAGCCACTGCCTGTTCACCCTGCTATCATCCAGAAGGCGAGGTCAGTACAGGTGATTCAAAGCTGGGACCGAAATAATGAAAAAACAGCTTCTATCTCAAGGCCATCAGACTGTTAAATAGCCATCACTTGCACTACTCATCTCATATGTACAGTCGTGGTCAAAAGTTTTGAGAATGACAAGTATTGGTCTTCAAAGTTTGCTGCTTCAGTGTTTTTAGATATTTTTGTCAGATGTTACTATGGTATACTGAAGTATAATTACAAGCATTCCATAAGTGTCAAAGGCTTTTATTGACAATTACATTAAGTTTATGCAAAGAGTCAATATTTGCAGTGTTGACCCTTCTTTTTCAAGACCTCTGCAATCCGCCCTGGCATGCTGTCAACTTCTGGGCCACATCCTGACTGATGGCAGCCCATTCTTGCATAATCAATGCTTGGAGTTTGTCAGAATTTGTGGGGTTTTAATTTTCCACCCGCCTCTTGAGGATTGACCACAAATTCTCAATGGGATTAAGGTCTGGGGAGTTTCCTGGCCATGGACCCAAAATGTTGATGTTTTGTTCCCCGAGCCACTTAGTTATCATTTTTGCCTTATGGCAAGGTGCTCCATCATGCTGGAAAAGGCAACAGTTGTCACCAAACTGTTTGTGGATGGTTGGGAGAAGTTGTTCTCTGAGGATGTGTTGGTACCATTCTTTATTCATGGCTGTGTTCTTAGGCAAAAATGTGAGTGAGCCGACTCCCTTGGCTGAGAAGCAACCCCACACATGAATGGTCTCAGGATGCTTTACTGTTGGCACGACACAGGACTGATGGTAGCACTCACCTTGTCTTCTCCGGACAAGCTTTTTTCCGGATGCCCCAAACAATCGGAAAGGGGATTCATCAGAGAAAATGACTTTACCCCAGTCCTCAGCAGTCCAATCCCTGTACCTTTTGCAGAATATCAGTCTGTCCCTGATGTTTTTCCTGGAGAGAAGTGGCTTCCTCGCTGCCCTTCTTGACACAAGGCCATCCTCCAAAAGTATTCGCCTCACTGTGCGTGCAGATGCACTCACACCTGCCTGCTGCCATTCCTGAGCAAGCTCTGCACTGGTGGTGCCCCGATCCCGCAGCTGAATCAAGTTTAGGAGACAGTCCTGGCGCTTGCTGGACTTTCTTGGGCGCCCTGAAGCCTTCTTCACAACAATTGAACATCTCTCCTTGAAGTTCTTGATGATCCGATAAATGGTTGATTTAGGTGCAATCTTACTAGCAGCAATATCCTTGCCTGTGAAGGCCTTTTTGTGCAAAGCAATGATGACGGCACATGTTTCCTTGCAGGTAACCATGGTTAGCAGAAGAACAATGATTTAAAGCACCACCCTCCTTTTAAAGCTTCCAGTCTGTTATTATAACTCAGCATGACAGAGTGATCTCCAGCCTTGTCCTCGTCAACACTCTCACCTGTGTTAACGAGAGAATCACTGACATGATGTCAGCTGGTCCTTTTGTGGCAGGGCTGAAATGCAGTGGAAATGTTTTTTGGGGATTAAGTTCATTTTCATGGAAAATAGGGACTTTGCAATTAATTGCAATTCATCTGATCACTCTTCATAACATTCTGGAGTATATGCAAATTGCCATCATAAAAACTGAGGCAGCAGACTTTGTGAAAATTAGTATTTGTGTCACTCAGAACTTTTGACCACAACTGTATATACTGCATTCTATTCTATAATATTCTACTGTATCTTAGTCCATGCCACTCTGTCATTACTTGTCCATATATGTACAGTGGGGGAAAAAAGTATTTAGTCAGCCACCAATTGTGCAAGTTCTCCCACTTAAAAAGATGAGAGAGGCCTGTAATTTATCATAGGTACACGTCAACTATGACAGACAAAATTAGATTTTTTTTCTCCAGAAAATCACATTGTAGGATTTTAATGAATTTATTTGCAAATTACGGGGGAAAATAAGTATTTGGTCAATAACAAAAGTTTCAATACTTTGTTATATACCCTTTGTTGGCAATGACACAGGTCAAACGTTTTCTGTAAGTCTTCACAAGGTTTTCACACACTGTTGCTGGTATTTTGGCCCATTCCTCCATGCAGATCTCCTCTAGAGCAGTGATGTTTTGGGGCTGTCGCTGGGCAACACGGATTTTCAACTCCCTCCAAAGATTTTCTATGGGGTTGAGATCTGGAGACTGGCTAGGCCACTCCAGGACCTTGAAATGCTTCTTACGAAGCCACTCCTTCGTTGCCCGGGCGGTGTGTTTGGGATCATTGTCATGCTGAAAGACCCAGCCACGTTTCATCTTCAATGCCCTTGCTGATGGAAGGAGGTTTTCACTCAAAATCTCACGATACATGGCCCCATTCATTCTTTCCTTTACACGGATCAGTCGTCCTGGTCCCTTTGCAGAAAAACAGCCCCAAAGCATGATGTTTCCACCCCAATGCTTCACAGTAGGTATGGTGTTCTTTGGATGCAACTCAGCATTCTTTGTCCTCCAAACACGACAAGTTGAGTTTTTACCAAAAAGTTATATTTTGGTTTCATCTGACCATATGACATTCTCCCAATCCTCTTCTGGATCATCCAAATGCACTCTAGCAAACTTCAGACGGGCCTGGACATATACTGGCCTAAGCAGGGGGACACGTCTGGCACTGCAGGATTTGAGTCCCTGGCGGCGTAGTGTGTTACTGATGGTAGACTTTGTTACTTTGGTCCCAGCTCTCTGCAGGTCATTCACTAGGTCCCCCCGTGTGGTTCTGGGATTTTTGCTCACCGTTCTTGTGATCATTTTGACCCCACGGGGTGAGATCTTGCGTGGAGCCCCAGATCGAGGGAGATTATCAGTGGTCTTGTATGTCTTCCATTTCCTAATAATTGCTCCCACAGTTGATTTCTTCAAACCAAGCTGCTTACCTATTGCAGATTCAGTCTTCCCAGCCTGGTGCAGGTCTACAATTTTGTTTCTGGTGTCCTTTGACAGCTCTTTGGTCTTGGCCATAGTGGAGTTTGGAGTGTGACTGTTTGAGGTTGTGGACAGGTGTCTTTTATACTGATAACAAGTTCAAACAGGTGCCATTAATACAGGTAACGAGTGGAGGACAGAGGAGCCTCTTAAAGAAGAAGTTACAGGTCTGTGAGAGCCAGAAATCTTGGTTGTTTGTAGGTGACCAAATACTTATTTTCCACCATAATTTGCAAATAAATTCATTAAAAATCCTACAATGTGATTTTCTGGATTTTTTCTTCTCAATTTGTCTGTCATAGTTGACGAGTACCTATGATGAAAATTACAGGCCTCTCTCATCTTTTTAAGTGGGAGAACTTGCACAATTGGTGGCTGACTAAATACTTTTTTCCCCCACTGTATATATTCTTAAATTCCATTCCTTACTAGATATGTGTGTATTGGGTATATGTTGTGAAATTGTTAGATATTACTTGTTAGATATTACTGCACTGTCGGAGCTAGAAGCGCAAGCATTTCGCTACACCCTCAATAACATCTGCTAAACACGTGTATGTGACAAATAAAAATGTGATTTGATTTGATGCCGGTGGCGTACCGCCATCCAATCTGCAGCAACTGCGTAATTCCATCGCGTCATTGACCAACATCCCTGTGGAACATTTACGACTTGTAGAATCCATGCCCCGAATAATTCAGGCTGTTCTGGAGGCAAAGGGGGGCCTGAACCGGTACTAGATGGGTGTACCTAATAAACTGGCCAGTGAGTGTATGTACAGCGCCTTCAGAACGTATTCACACCCCTCGACATTTTCCCAATTTTTATGTGTTGCAGCCTGAATTTAAAATGGATTAAAAATTTAGATTTTGTTTCACTGATCTACACACAATACCCCATAATGTCAAAGTGGAATTATGTTTTTAGCAATTTGTAATCTGGAGTAAAAATGTGCTTAAGTCACATAAGTTGCATGGACTCACTGTGTGCAATAACTGTGTTTAACATGATTTTTGAATGATTACCCCACATCTGTAAGGGCCCTCAGTCGAGCAATGAATTTCAAGCACAGATTCAACCAAAAAGACCAGGGAGGTTTCCAATGCCTCTCAAAGGGCACCTATTGGTAGATGGGTAAAAAGAAAAGAAGCAGACATTGAATATCCCTTTGAGCATGGTGAAGTTATTCATTACACTTTGGATGGAGTATCAGTACACCCAGTCACTACAAAGATACATGCATCCTTCCTAACTCAGTTGCTGGAGAGGAAGGAAACCTCTCAGGGATTTCACCATGAGGCCAATGGTGTCTTTGAAACAGTTACAGAGTTTAATGGCTGTGATAGGAGAAAACTGAGGATGGATCAACAACATTGTAGTTACTCCACAATACTAACCTAAATGACAGAGTGAAATGAATGAAGCCTGTACAGAATAAAAAATATTCCAACACATTCATCCTGTTTGCAATAAGACACTAAAGTAAAACTGCAAAAAAAGTGGCAAAGAAATAAACTTCATGTCCTGAATAAAAAACATTATGTTTGGGGCAAATCCAACACAACACATCACGGAGTACCACTTCATGTTTTCAAGCATTGTGGTGGCTGCGTCATGTTATGGGTATGCTTGTCATCGGCAAGGACTAGGGAGTATTTTTTAGGATAAAAATAAACGGAATAGAGCTAAGCACAGGTCAAATCCTAAAGGACAACCTGGTTCAGTCTGCTTTCCAGCAGACAAATTCACCTTTCAGCAGGACAATTAGCTAAAACAAGGACAAATCTACACTGGAGTTGCTCACCAAGACGACGTTGAATGTTCCTGAGTGGCCTAGTTACAGTTTTGACTTAAATTGGCTTGGAAATCTATGGCAAGACCTGTAAAATGGCTGTCTAGCAATGATCAACAACCAACTTGACAGAGCTTGAAGAATTTTAAAAAGAACAATGTGCAAATATTGTACAATCCAGGTGTGGAAAACTCTTAGAGATCAAATGTGATTCTAACATGTATTGACTTAGGGGTGTGAATGCTTATGTAAATTTAATTTTCAATATATTTGCAAACATTTCTAAAAATCATGTTTTCATTGTCATTATGGGGTGTTGTATGTAGATGGGTGAGAGAGAAAAAAATTGATTTAATCCATTTTGAATTCAGGCTGGAACAACAAAATGTGGAATAAGTCAAGAGGTCTGAATACTCTGAAGGAACTGTATTATGCATCTATCCATGGTGCCTTCACCAAGATCAGAAACAACTAGGAACAATTAGAAACCTCTGTACTCTCTCCAAGATGTTTGGGGTGGACAGGAAGGAACAATTAGAAACCTCTGTACTCTCTCCAAGATGTTTGGGGTGGACAGGAAGGAACAATTAGAAACCTCTGTCCTCTCTCCAAGATGTTTGGGGTGGACAGGTAGGAAACAATTAGAAACCTCTGTACTCTCTCCAAGATGTTTGGGGTGGACAGGAAGGAACAATTAGAAACCTCTGTCCTCTCTCCAAGATGTTTGGGGTGGACAGGTAGGAAACAATTAGAAACCTCTGTACTCTCTCCAAGATGTTTGGGGTGGACAGGAAGGAACAATTAGAAACCTCTGTACTCTCTCCAAGATGTTTGGGGTGGACAGGAAGGAACAATTAGAAACCTCTGTCCTCTCTCCAAGATGTTTGGGGTGGACAGGTAGGAAACCATTAGAAACCTCTGTCCTCTCTCCAAGATGTTTGGGGTGGACAGGAAGGAAACAATTAGAAACCTCTGTACTCTCTCCAAGATGTTTGGGGTGGACAGGTAGGGAACAATTAGAAACATCTGTACTCTCTCCAAGATGTTTGGGGTGGACAGGTAGGAACAATTCGAAACCTCTGTACTCTCTCCAAGATGTTTGGGGTGGACAGGTAGGAAACAATTAGAAACCTCTGTACTCTCTCCAAGATGTTTGGGGTGGACAGGAAGTCATTGATGCAGAGAGAGTAGAATGAGACCAGGGTATCCCATTTAGCAGACGCTTTTATCCTAAGCGACTCACAGTCATGCATGCATACCTTTTTACCTATGGGTGGTCCCGGGAATCGAACCCACTACCCTGGTGTTACAAGCACCATGCTTTCCCAACTGAGCTACAGAGAGATTTCAGGGATAGGAGACCTACAAGTGGTGGACAAAAATGCAAACAAATGAGGAGACAAGAAGAAGACGACTACTGGATGACTACTCATGCACTTTAGGGTGGGGGCATTGTCATACTGTCACACCTCCGTACATTCAGGCTCTGATCAGTCCCTACACCCAAACGAGGGCATTGCGTTCATCCACCTCTGGCCTGCTGGCTCCCCTACCTCTACGGAAGCACAGTTCCCGCTCAGCCCAGTCAAAGCTATTCGCTGCTCTGGCACCCCAATGGTGGAACAAGCTCCCCCACGACGCCAGGACAGCGGAGTCACACACCACCTTCCGGAGACACTTGAAACCCCACCTCTTTAAGGAATACCTGGGATAGGATAAAGTAATCATTCTACCCCCCCCCCCCCCCCCCCCTAACAAAAAAAAAAATGGTGAAGTGGTTATCCCACTGGCTATAAGGTGAATGCACCAATTTGTAAGTCGCTCTGGATAAGAGCGTCTGCTAAATTACGTACATGTAAATGTTCATTCAGGTGATTGTGTTTTTTTAGTCCACCACCATTACCTTTGTAATACAACAGTAGAGAGGGATATTTGAAAACTGTCTTCACACAGGCTTCAGGAAGACAAGTTGAACTAATTAAACAACAATAGCAGTACAGCAAATGTGAATCAGCTTTCAGATTAATTCATTGAAAAGTTGTTGGTCTTTGCTGCATGGCTTCTTATCCACAGAGGGCCGGGTTTGTGTTCTAACCGAGCAGTAACATACCCGTTTTCAACTAATCATGTCTTGATTGAAGTCTATGATTAGTTGAAATCAGGTTTGTACTGGTTGGCAAGAACCAGAGCCTAAATCTCTGGATGTGATTGGACCCCCCCTTGTTATAAGTGCTACTTTCATGATGAATAGCAATGATCAGTTTATTTTAATAAACTTTAGGGGAGATTCATATAATATAATTTGACATAAGAAATGTCAGTTTGTAAATTATTTTCATTTGGAAATTAATTAAAATGTATTTTTTAAGAGGGCTAATTTGGAACACCAATGGACTGAAAGGCTATACATTAAGTCCAGTCTGGACTTTTGTTGTTGTAAATAAAGTCATAAAGCTTCACATGAGAGATGAATATGTAATTGTATCTTCACTTTTCTTACAAAAAATGAGGGCAGTATATGTTATTAATGTCTAAACTTAGATTTTGGTGAGCTTAAAAAGGGCCACTTACCTTAATGCTGATCAAGGCTTTTGGGGGATTGGTTTTGCTACTGTAGCCTTTAGAGAAGTCAGGCTTTTGGGGGGTCAATCTGCTGTTAGGCATCAGAGAAGTCATTATAGAACGCGCTATTGGTCAAATGTTTTCCTGCTAACAGTAACAGCCAGCTCTGCAACATCCACTGACAGAGAGCAAGAGCGATACAGAGAGATAGAGGGAGAGAGAGGGGGATGGAGCGAGGGAGAGAGAGAGGGATGGAGCGAGAGAGAGAGAGAGGGGGATGGAGCGAGAGAGAGAGAGAGAGAGAGAGAGAGAGAGAGAGAGAGAGAGAGAGAGAGAGAGGAGAGAGAGAGAGAGAGAGAGAGAGGGATGGAGCGAGGGAGAGAGCAACAGAGGGCGAGAGAGAGTGTTGGAGAGAGAGAGCGAGATGAGAGATAAGAGACAGGAGAATAGGTTGTGTTTACAGGAACAGCACAGAGGCAGGCCTTTATGGCTGCGTTTACACAGGCAGCACAATTCTGATATCCCCCCCCCCCACAAAGTGGTCTTTTGACCAATCAGATCAGCTCTGAAAAAGATCTAATGTGAAAAGATCTGTGATTGGTTAAAAGACCAATTAGTGGGGAAAATATCATAAATTGGGCTGCCTGTGTAAACGCAGGCTAAAGCTTACCGTATGCTTCGCAATCTAAACTGTTTGTGCATATGATTACGTTTTGTGACGTTTTTGGTGTTCTGCAGCGTTCGACAGGTATTTTGTCAGCTGTTCGAGCACATTCAATTTTTTCTTGAGGCAAGCCGAAGTTCTGTAGCCAAAGACTATGCCCCTTTGTCGGTGATTGGTCAACAGTAGGGATTATTCGATGAAGAGTTTGTTGTAATTCAACAACAGACGACTAGTTTGAATGCACATTTTTTCACTTGAGAAATACTGCAAAACATAGATGCAAGACATCCTCTGCAAAAACGTCAAAATGAATTACAGATTTCTTGAGTTATCTTAGATTAATTCGGACTATTTTGAGGAAGTGTGCTTGTTGCTACAGCGTCTCAAGTGGGGGGAAAAAGACGCTTTTTCTTGTTTTTCAAGCAGAGGTATTTTAAGTATGTGAGCACAGCCGTTTACCTTGCTAGCTAAGATCTGCTAGGAGCAAACAACCCGTCTGCCTTAAGCACCTCCTGGTTTCTATTGATGTAATGCAGCATGAAAGCTCTGTCACCCCTCCCCCATACACACCACGCTCTGCACAACAATAACCACGTTTCCATGGTGTTGGCTAAGGGTGCGTTTCCATGGTGTTGGCTAAGGGTGCGTTTCCATGGTGTTGGCTAAGGGTGCGTTTCCATGGTGTTGGCTAAGGGTGCGTGTGTGTGTGTGTGTATGCTCACGGCAACAAAAATGTGCTATCCAGGAGCGAAAGCTCACAGCTCATAAACATTACAAATATATGATCATGTTCAGTTATCAGTCTCCTCTCCATCTATTGACATACAACAGAAACCCTCTAGACCACGTGTCCAGCTCATTCCACGGAGGGCCGAGTGGCTGTGGGTTTTCACTCCTCCCTTGTACTTGATTGATGAATTAAATGTCACTGATTAGTAAGGAACTCCCCTCACCTGGTTGTCTAGGTCTAAGTAAGGAACTCCCCTCACCTGGTTGTCTAGGTCTTAGTAAGGAACTCCCCTCACCTGGTTGTCTAGGTCTTAGTAAGGAACTCCCCTCACCTGGTTGTCTAGGTCTAAGTAAGGAACTCCCCTCACCTGGTTGTCTAGGTCTTAGTAAGGAACTCCCCTCACCTGGTTGTCTAGGTCTAAGTAAGTAACTCCCCTCACCTGGTTGTCTAGGTCTTAGTAAAGAACTCCCCTCACCTGGTTGTCTAGGGCTAAATTGAAAGGAAAAACCAAAACCCTGCAGACACTCGGCCCTCCATGGAATGACTTTCACACCCCTGTTCTAAAGGATGAAATATTAACCTTGTCCAGCCTTGACCAGGGACAAGGAGACCCTGACTGACTGACAGAGGGGGGTTATGTTAGGAGGGACTGACAGAGGGGGGTTATGTTAGGAGGGACTGATAGAGGGGGGTTATGTTAGGAGGGACTGACAGAGGGGGGTTATGTTAGGAGGGACTGACAGAGGGGTTATGTTAGGAGGGACTGACAGAGGGGGGTTATGTTAGGAGGGACTGACTGACAGAGGGGTTATGTTAGGAGGGACTGACAGAGGGGGGTTATGTTAGGAGGGACTGACAGAGGGGGTTATGTTAGGAGGGACTGACAGAGGGGGGTTATGTTAGGAGGGACTGACAGACAGAGGGGGGTTATGTTAGGAGGGACTGACAGAGGGGTTATGTTAGGAGGGACTGACGAGGGGGTTATGTTAGGCGAGGGGATGACAGACGAAGGGGGGTTATGTTAGGAGGGACTGACAGAGGGGGTTATGTTAGGAGGACTGACTGAGGGGTTATGTTAGGAGGGACAGACAGAGGGGGTTATGTTAGGAGGGACTGACAGACAGAGGGGGGTTATGTTAGGAGGGACTGACAGAGGGGTTATGTTAGGAGGGACTGACAGAGGGGGGTTATGTTAGGAGGGACTGACAGACAGAGGGGGTTATGTTAGAGGGACTGACAAGAGGGGGGTTATGTTAGGAGGGACTGACAGAGGGTGGGTTTTAGAGGATGACAAGGGTTGTAGGAGGGACTGACAGAGGGGGGTTATGTTAGGAGGGACTGACAGAGGGGGTTATGTTAGGAGGGACTGACAGAGGGGGTATGTTAGGAGGACTGACAGAGGGGGTATGTTAGGAGGACTGACAGAGGGGGGTTATGTTAGGAGGGACTGACAGAGGGGGGTTATGTTAGAGGACTGGAGGGGTTTAGAGGACTGACAGAGGGGGGTTATGTTAGGAGGGACTGACAGAGGGGGGTTATGTTAGGAGGGACTGACGAGGGGGTTATGTTAGGAGGACTGACAGAGGGGGGTTATGTTAGGAGGGACTGACAGAGGGGGGTTATGTTAGGAGGGACTGACAGAGGGGGGTTATGTTAGGAGGGACTGACGATAGGGGGTTATGTTAGGAGGGACTGACAGAGGGGGGTTATGTTAGGAGGGACTGACAGAGGGGGTTATGTTAGGAGGGACTGACAGAGGGGGTTTGTTAGGAGGGACTGACAGATAGGGGGTTATGTTAGGAGGGACTGACGAGAGGGGTTATGTTAGGGGGACTGACAGAGGGGGGTGGTTATGTTAGGAGGGACTGACAAGAGGGGGGGGGTTAATGTTAGGAGGGACTGACTGATAGAGGGGTTATGTTAGGAGGGACTGACAGAGGGGGGTTCTGTTAGGAGGGCTGACAGAAGGGGTTATGTTAGGAGGGACTGACAGAGGGGGTTCTGTTAGGGAGGACTGACAGAGGGGGGTTCTGTTAGGGGGGACTGACTGATAGAGGGGTTATGTTAGGAGGGACTGACAGAGGGGTTATGTTAGGAGGGACTGACAGAGGGGGGTTATGTTAGGAGAGACTGCTGATAGAGGGGTTTATGTTAGGAGAGACTGACTGATAGAGGGGTTATGTAGGAGAGACTGACATAGGGGTTATGTTTAGGAGGGACTGACAGAGGGGGGGTCTGTTAGGAGGGACTGACAGAGGGGGGTTATGTTAGGAGGGACTGACAGAGGGGGGTTCTGTTAGGAGGGACTGACAGAGGGGGGTTATGTTAGGGGGGACTGAATGATAGAGGGGTTATGTTAGGAGGGACTGACAGAGGGGTTATGTTAGGAGAGACTGACTGAGGGGGTTATGTTAGGGGGGACTGACTGATAGAGGGGTTATGTCAGGAGGGACTGACTGATAGAGGGGTTATGTCAGGGACAGGGAGGGACTCTTATCTCCTGTCACCCTCTCCAGTAGGAACACACATTTTTGATTTAGTCTGTCTCTGTCCGTCTGTGGGAGAGCCCTTTTCTCTCCTCGGTTAGTTGACAGAGAGCTAAGGCCCAAAACAAAGACCACTGTCCCCCTGCCTACCGACCGCCACACATCTCAATAGCCACTGCTGTTTGTTTATGCTAAGTACTTACAGAAGGAATGAACATCAACTGTCCAGGCCAAATACTGTCTCCTACACTTCCTACTGTAGTCATTTCTAGATGGAGTAGTTTCATGTTCGTCTAGAAATCTAAATAAACAGGAGCATTGTTCTGAGTGGGGAAAAATAACACTGAAACCAAGTGTAGGGATAATTATAGACATTGGCTTGATTGCTACTCAGAACAGAACCCATTAATGCTCTGAATATGGATAAGAGAAGTGTTGAGTGACAGAACGTTCTGCTGTGTTTCTACCTAACAGAGACAGCCAAGGGTGCAGCTAGACAACAAGGACAAGGGTAGAGACAGAAAGCTGCCGGCCTATACTGAAGTTACAATACAGCTCTGATGCAGGGCCAAAAACATTTGGACATTTTAGCAGACGCTCTTATCCAGAGCGACTTATAGCAGCGAGAGCGTACTTTTTCCACGACAACAACATCAAAACAAAAAGCAACAACTTTGCTCCCTTGTGAAAGAGGCCTTGGTCTCAAATGGGGACTCCCTGTGAAAATAAAGGTTAAATAAAAACTCACCAGTGAAGATGTCATGGAAGCTGCAGGTAGACACCTGTCCGGTGGAGGACCTCCGCGTGGCACACAGTGGCTGGCTGGCCCCCCTCAGCCTGTCCTGCGACCCTCCATACCCCTCCAGGTAGTCTGCTGATCCAGCCTTGGTGGGGCGATCCCTCTCCAGCTCCTCGGTCCAGTCTGCAGACCAGCTGAGGGGACCAGCGATGCTGTGGGAGCGCTGTCGTCTAACCCTCCTCTTCTCCGTGCGGTGTCCCAGGTCGTGGCAGCGTCGGTGGAACAAGGGGCTCTGTGACGGCGAGGTGCCTGGGGAGTTAGTGAGCTGCCTTGTGGTGGTCTTGATGTAGGAGGGGTAAATGGGAGGGTAGGGTTTGGCTGTGGGGCTGGAGCCTGAGGAGGAGTGGTTGTAGGAGGGAAGGGTGGAGGTCAGGGTGGACTTGAGGAGGCGCGTGGCCAGGCTAGGGCTCTCCTGAGAGGGCCAGGGGGAGAAGGAAACACTGCTCTTCCTCCTACGGGTGATCAGGGGGTCGTCTGCAGGCTCAGAGCACCTCAGATCCCCCCTGCTAAAACACTCCAAGGACTCAGCACTGACTGCAGCCCCCACTCCTGCCCCTACCCAGTCCCCTATCCTCCCCTCTGCCTCGGAGGCGTTCCCAGAGCTCAGGCCTATGTCCTCGTGGCTCGTGGTCGCGTCACTGTGACTATGGCTCTCGGCTGACAGAGGCGGCATGTCCAGGTCCAGGTCGTCATCCTCCTCCACCTCCTCCTCCTCCTCCTCCACCTCCTCCAACACTTCCTTCTCCTCATCTCTGAAAGGAGACTCCACAGCGCTCTCAAAAGAGGCTGTGAGGTCTGGGAAGCTAGTAGCGCTGGTTGTCTTGGTAACATGGCCGTTCGTCTGGGCTGTGGGGGGCTGAGTGTTAGCGTTCACCTCCTGGCAGCTCAATGCCTCCTCCTCCTCCTCCTTTGTCCCGGAGGAAGAGGAGGCACAAAGGGCCGGTTCTGTTTCAGCCCCTCTCAGCTCCCAGTTGAGTTTCTCTGCAGACGTGGCTGCTCTCCTCTCCTCCTCTGGCCCATCCAGGGACAGAGACAGTTTAGAAAGCAGGCCATTCTCCCGGCCAGTGACGGGGGCTGCCTCTGGGGTAGTGAGAGGCTCCGGTGGGGGGGTCTGTTCAGGGGGGCTGGGGGTAGTTCTAACCTCGTCAGACCTCTGTTTCCTCCACCCCCCTCCCCAACCCAGCTCTTCACTCAGCTCAGCGGTGGAGATAATCACCCCCTGCTGTAGTCTAATGGCCTGCTGGATGTCAGCTAGCAGGTCTTCTTGTTCTGCAGCTGAGTGAAAGCTATAGATGTCCGTGTCTGAACCAGAGCTGCTCTTCTTCTTCTGTTCTACCACCTCCTGCTGGTCTGGAGCAGTGTCCGTGGTCGCCGCCGCCGTGGGCTGCCGGCTCTCTGTCCTGATACAACCACCATGCCCTTCACCACGCTCTGTTGGTCCCTCGGTGTCAGACTGGCCCAGCTCATCAGCTGACAGAGAGAGGTCTGGTGTTTTGGTGTTAACAGAGTGAGCAGAGTCCAGCTCATTCTGAGACGACAACACATCCTCCCTGGATCCCCCTGTCGATCCCTTCCCCTTTAGATTCTTCCTCTTCCTGATGGAGAACACCGAGGATTTAGACTCCTTCTCCTTCTTCTTCTTGCTCTTCTCCTCCCCTCCTTTGACATGTTTTCCGTGGGATTTCTTGCCGTTGTGAAATCCTTTCTTTGTGCCGTCAGCGTCGCGAGGCCCTCCGGTGGTATCGTCCGCTGCGTCCAGTCCGTATCCTTCCCCCTCTTTCCCCCTCTTCTGCTTCCCCTCCTGGTTCCCCATGATGCTGGATCTCAGCCTCCACGTCTGTCTGGCGCTGAGACTCAGGCCATGCCTCCGAAAACAGCTGCCGTTTTCTCTGCTGCTGCCCCTCCTCAGTCTACGTCTGCGTAGCTGCTGCGAGGCGGAGGCTGTGATGCTGCTTTCCGGTGACGACGATGAGAGGAGCAGTGATGTTGATGCAAAGACGTACGCCTGCTCTCGCTCTCGCTGCTCCCACTCTCCTCCTCCCCGCGCATGCTCAATTCCTCGCTGCGCTTTCTCTCCCCCTCCTGCCATGATTTCTCGCAGCTCCCCCTCTCCCCCTCCTCCCTGCTCTCTCGCTCTCTCTCCATACGCGTGCACCTGCTTGCTCTCTCCCGGCTCCCTCCCCCCCTCTCCATCTGCTGCTCTGCATAATGTGCTGAGCCTAGCAGAGCTGGAGGAGAAACAGCCCTCGGAGACCACAGGGACTAGCTCAGTAAAAACATGCTCAGTAGAGGTCTCCGGCTGACTCTCCGCCGGCTGCCTGCACGGTTCACCAGCCAGGAGAAGAGAAAAGCATGGATGCTGCTGCTGATATTGACGAGTTGGGTTCTGGTGGGGCTCTAGGGAGAGGCGGCTGCTGTGACGGGGAGTCTGGCGGTTATAGGGGCTGTGACGGGGAGTGTGGTGGTTATAGGGGCTGTGAAGGAGAGTCTGGCGGGGAGTGTGGTGGTTATAGGGGCTGTGAAGGAGAGTCTGGCGGGGAGTGTGGTGGTTATAGGGGCTGTGAAGGAGAGTCTGGCGGGGAGAGTGGTGGTTATAGGGGCTGTGACGGAGAGTCTGGCAGGGAGTGTGGTGGTTATAGGGGCTGTGACGGAGAGTCTGGCAGGGAGAGTGGTGGTTATAGGGGCTGTGATGGGGAGTCTGGCGGGGAGTGTGGTGGTTATAGGGGCTGTGACGGGGAGTCTGGCGGGGAGTGTGGTGGTTATAGGGGCTGTGACGGGGAGTCTGGCGGGGAGTGTGGCTGTTTGTATTCAGATTAAACAGACACCCAGTTCTCTCTGTGAAAGGTGTTCTGACAACGCTCTCCCTCAGCACAGGGATCTGGTTTTCTATGGTCTGGATGGTACGCATGGTGAAGTCTTGATGCTGGGGACAATACGCTCAGAGATGGTGTCTGGAAAAACACAGGATAGGATAAACAAAATGACTAGCCATTAGATTACTGAAACGTAAACGTATTTAAAACAGAGTAGTGCTTTTTACTGCTCTTCTGTAAATACGTCTGTTTCACATGAACATTTCCCAGCAAGAAAAATAGCTTTACTGTATTACTGTAGGTCTAATTACTGTAGATACGGTTTTGCTACTATTGTACATTAAAACATTACTGGTGTTACATCAGTAAATAAATCATTCTAAAAATTATATTTGAAATGCAATAATGCTATTTACAGAGCTTCCATCATTAAAAATGCCTATACACTGGGTGTATAAAACATTAGGAACACCTTCCTAATATTGAGTTGCATCCCCTTTTGCCCTCAGAACAGCCTCAATTCATCGGGGCATGGACTCTACAAGGTGTCGAAAGCGTTCCACAGGGATGCTGGCCCATCTTGACTGACTCCAATGCTTCCCACAGTTGTGTCAAGTTGGCTGGATGTCCTTTAGGTGATGGACCATTCTTTAAACACACAGGTAGGTAGGTATATACATATATATATATTTTTTTAAATCGACCAGCCACAGTTTTTTTTTCTTCTAGCCAACATATTTTTGTTAGCTAAAATTACACCAACAAAACAAAACGGATGCACATACAATAAATGTATATTAGTAAGAAGTAGTGGTATATTGTTTAATTGAATTACAGTTTTTGTGACCCGAGTCTTTCAAAGATGCACTATGCAGAAATCGCGCCGCCATTTCCTGATTGCTAAAGTTCTAATAGCGCTGCTAATTTCAGTTTATGTGACAAAACAAGTCCAGTGGAGAGAATCATTGTACCGTCTAAACCGCTGTGAAATATATTTTCCATAACCAAAAATATCGTATTTTCAGCTGGTGTACAAAACCGAAAGAAAAAAGACGCAAAAACATAGAACAGATCTGCCGCTTCTTAGACTTGCTCTCAATGAAAATGACAGATCTATAACTCACATTCTACGTGAATTTTGTTAAGGTCGCCAAAAAAAAAAGTGACATAAAAAGAGCCCTTAGCGGTCAAACAGGGAAACGGTTCCTATAGTTCTTCCACCATTCATTTTTCCCATAGGGGATTTTAAAAAAAAACACTTAATATAAGGGTTGTGTTTCGTGTAGGCTTACCCTGGCGTGACGTTTTTGATATCCATGTAAATCTCTCTCGGACAAGGTGACTTTTATCAATATATTCACCTCTATTTACTCTGATGCTAATTAGCATTTTGGAATCAAAGTAGACATCATGGAAAACTACAAATCCCTGCAAACTCCTGCACCTCCTCTCTAGCTGATAACTTTGCTAAGAGGTTTTGTGTCAATTTAAAACTTGCACAAGACAGTTCACAGAATTATCAATTTAAAAGAAATGTAGCCAATGTATTCATTACTACATTTAACTGACATTAGATAGTTAATCCAGAGATTCTTACCTTCAGCTCGATTCGGCACTCTTTTCCCTATGGGAGAAAACGGTGGGGAAAAACAATTGGAACCATTTCCCTGTTCGACCGCTAGGTTTTATGGGTATGATGACGCATTCTGTGGTACTATATCGCAGCTTTAACCAAAATGCTCACCTGCCTCTTTAAGGGCGGGAGGTTACCATGGTAACGCCATCGGAGTCACGTTAGTCTGACTAGTAGCCGCGTCGTCTTCTCTTCCGTAGCGGTTGAAAACCCAAACATTGACAAAAAAAAAACTACCTAGCTTGTGAATAAAACAAATGTAGATAGCCAAGAAACAAGGGCAAAGTCTCACTTCAGTAGACATTCGTTTAAAGTACATTTGACCAATTTTTCATGCCTGTGCGCAGCGCTTGTAAAAAGTGGATCTTTCGCTCAGCTCTTCAAGTGCGCACAGACCCGGCCAGGCAGTGATGCAGCGCAAGGATGGATAGGCTATAGGATAGGCTATAGGATAGGCTATAGGATAGGCTATAGGATAGGCTATAGGATTGGCTATAGGATAGGCTATAGGATTGGCTATAGGATGGCTATAGGATTGGCTATAGGATTGGCTATAGGATTGGCAGTTGTTTGACTTGGATAGGCTATAGGATTGGCTATAGGATTTGCTATAGGATAGGCTATAGGATTGGCTATAGGATTGGCTATAGGATTGGCTATAGGATGGCTATAGGATAGGCTATAGGATAGGCTATAGGATAGGCTTGGCTATAGGATAGGCTATAGGATAGGCTATAGGATAGGCTATAGGATAGGCTATAGGATTGGCAGTTGTTTGACTTGGATAGGCTATAGGATTGGCAGTTGTTTGACTTGGATAGGCTATAGGATTGGCAGTTGTTTGACTTGGATAGGCTATAGGATTGGCAGTTGTTTGACTTGGATAGGCTATAGGCCTATAGGATGGCAGTTGTTTGACTTGGATAGGCTATAGGATAGGCTATGTAGCTGACTAGGATAGGCTATAGGATTGGCAGTTGTTTGACTTGGATAGGCTATAGGATTAGGCTAGTTTGATGGATAGGCTATAGGAACTATGGGCAGTTGTTGACTTGGTAGCGCTATAGGATGGCAGTTTTTGACTTGGATAGGCTAACAGGCAAATTGGCAGTTGTTGACTTGGATAGCTCATAGGATGGCATTGTATTACTTGGATAAGCAAGGAAATTGGAGTTGCTTCGACATTGGATGCTATAGATTGGCCAGTTCGTTTGACTTTAAAGGCATATAGATTTGGCATTGGTTTGACTAGATGGCTATAGCATGGCCACTTGTAGATCTTGAGATGCTATAGATATGGCAGATTTACTCAGGATATGGCCATAACTCTGGAGATTTACCCGAAAGACCCGCTATATCCGCTGCCAATCTGAGATTTACCCTGAAAGATCCGCTATATCCGCTGCAACTCTCAGAGATTTACCCGAAAGACTCGCTATATCCGCTTGCCAACTCTCAGAGATTACCCAGAAAGACTCCGCTATATCCGCTGCCAACTCTCAGAGATTTACCCAGAAAGACTCCGCTATATCCGCTGCCAACTCTCAGAGATGTACCCAGAAAGACTCTGCTATATCCGCTGCCAACTCTCAGAGATTTACCCAGAAAGACTCCGCTATATCCGCTGCCAACTCTCAGAGATGTACCCAGAAAGACTCCGCTATATCCGCTGCCAACTCTCAGAGATTTACCCAGAAAGACTCCGCTATATTAATGTGCAAATATTGTACAATCCAGGGGTCCAAAACTCAGAGATTTACCCAGAAAGACTCCGCTATGTCCGCTGCCAAAGGTGATTCTAACATGGATGGACTCAGGAGGTTGAATACTTATGGAAATCAAGTTATTCATTTATTTATTTTATGTTATAATTTTTCTTCCAATTTGACATTAGACTGTGCAGATCGTTGACCAAAAAAAGGACAAATACAATTTAATCCCACCTTGTAACACAACAAAAAGGTGGAGAAAGTCAAGGGGTGTGAATACTTTCTGAACTGTATACAGTGGGGAGAACAAGTATTTGATACACTGCCGATTTTGCAGGTTTTCCTACTTACAAAGCATGTAGAGGTCTGTAATTTTTATCATAGGTACACTTCAACTGTGAGAGACTAAAATCAAAAATCCAGAAAATCAGATTGTATGATTTTTAAGTAATTCATTTGCATTTTATTGCATGACATAAGTATTTGATACATCAGAAAAGCAGAACTTAATATTTGGTACAGAAACCTTTGTTTGCAATTACAGAGATCATACGTTTCCTGTAGGTCTTGACCAGGTTTGCACACACTGCAGCAGGGATTTTGGCCCACTCCTCCATACAGACCTTCTCTAGATCCTTCAGGTTTCGGGGCTGTCGCTGGGCAATACGGACTTTCAGCTCCCTCCAAAGATTTTCTATTGGGTTCAGGTCTGGAGACTGGCTAGGCCACTCCAGGACCTTGAGATGCTTCTTACGGAGCCACTCCTTAGTTGCCCTGGCTGTGTGTTTCGGGTCGTTGTCATGCTGGAAGAACCAGCCACGACCCATCTTCAATGCTCTTACTGAGGGAAGGAGGTTGTTGGCCAAGATCTCGCGATACATGGCCCCATCCATCCTCCCCTCAATACAGTGCAGTTGTCCTGTCCCCTTTGCAGAAAAGCATCCCCAAAGAATGATGTTTCCACCTCCATGCTTCACGGTTGGGATGGTGTTCTTGGGGTTGTACTCATCCTTCTTCTTCCTCCAAAAATCTCTATTTTTGTCTCATCAGACCACATTACCTTCTCCCATTCCTCCTCTAGATCTTCCAGATGGTCATTGGCAAACTTCAGACGGGCCTGGACATGCGCTGGCTTGAGCAGGGGGACCTTGCGTGCGCTGCAGGATTTTAATCCATGACGGCGTAGTGTGTTACTAATGGTTTTCTTTGAGACTGTGGTCCCAGCTCTCTTCAGGTCATTGACCAGGTCCTGCCGTGTAGTTCTGGGCTGATCCCTCACCTTCCTCATGATCATTGATGCCCCACGAGGTGAGATCTTGCATGGAGCCCCAGACCGAGGGTGATTAACCGTCATCTTGAACTTCTTCCATTTTCTAATAATTGCGCCAACAGTTGTTGCCTTCTCACCAAGCTGCTTGCCTATTGTCCTGTAGCCCATCCCAGCCTTGTGCAGGTCTACAATTTTATCCCTGATGTCCTTACACATCTCTCTGTTCTTGGCCATTGTGGAGAGGTTGGAGTCTGTTTGATTGAGTGTGTGGACAGGTGTCTTTTATACAGGTAACGAGTTCAAACAGGTGCAGTTAATAAAGGTAATGAGTGGAGAACAGGAGGGCTTCTTAAAGAAAAACTAACAGGTCTGTGACAGCCGGAATTCTTACTGGTTGGTAGGTGATCAAATACTTATGTCATGCAATAAAATGCAAATTAATTACATAAAAATCATACGATGTGATTTTCTGGATGTTTGTTT